GGAAGCCCAGCATTCATGTTATTTCTGTTACAGACTTTGTCAACAGCAACAACAGCAACAAATTAATGTGGTAGGATAATATTTTCATAAGTTATAAAATGAAGGTAAATGAGATAGTTTTCAGGTGAACTCTTTTAGAAATAATTATATCTTGGGTATGTCTGTCTAAAATAGTTTCTCTAGATTTTTGGTAACTTGAGTTTTGCTAAGTTAAGTTAAATGATGGGAATTTATTGAATGTCCAGGTCATTTCAAATGAGATAAAATGCTGAAACATTAATTGCTAAACAGGTCTAAAGTTAATCACTTTATTCTTCTCAGGAAAGGAAAAACTAAAGATGTCTGGGTTTATTACAAACATACCTTGTACCACATTGAGGAAAGAAATTATTTTATATGTTTCTAGAGGTTATGGGATACTCCAATCAGGGAATGCTGGTATGACAAACAGCTTATAATTACTTGCTGCTTGTTGGTTTGTGCTAGAGATTAAGTTTTTTTATGTTTCTTTTTTTTGCGGTACGCGGGCCTCTCACTGTCGTGGCCTCTCCCGTTGCGGAGCACAGGCTCCGGACGCTCAGGCTCAGCGGCCATGGCTTACAGGCCCAGCCACTGTGTGGCATGTGGGATCTTCCTGGACTGGGGCACGAACCCGTGTCCCCTGCATCAGCAGGCGGACTCTCAACCACTGCGCCACCAGGGAAGCCCAGAGATTAAGGTTTTTTTTGTTTTGTTTTGCGGTACGCGGGCCTCTCTCTGTTGTGGCCTGTCCTGTTGCAGAGCACAGGCTCCGGACGCTCAGGCTCAGCAGCCATGGCTCACGGGACTAGCCGCTCCGCGGCATGTGGGATCCTCCCAAACCGGGGCACGAACCCGTGTCCCCTGCATCGGCAGGCGGACTCTCAACCACTGCGCCACCAGGGAAGCCCCAGATTAAGGTTTTTAACAGTTAAAATTGTAGTATGTAATTAGAACTACTAAAGATAATAAGGGAAATATTTCAGTATGCAAGGAAAGTAGGATGTGTGTTTTCAGCAAAAGAAGGTATGAGGAATGGAAGTACATTTTGTTAAGGGGAAAGAATGATTTTGTCCTAGAGCTGGTTATTTCTGTATTAAAAAAATAAGGGACAAATTAATATGAATACAGAAACTTGTAGAAGATTTGTAAAAAGGGAGCCCTGAAAAAGGAGTTTTATACATGGTCAGGCTCATATTAGATTCAATTTAATTTCGTAAATGGATTTTGTTATTAAAAGTAGACTGGGGCTTCCCTGGTGGCGCAGCGGTTGAGAGTCCGCCTGCCGATGCAGGGGACACGGGTTCGTGCCCCGGTCCGGGAGGATCCCACATGCCGTGGAGCGGCTGGACCCGTGAGCCATGGCCACTGAGCCTGCGCGTCCGGAGCCTGTGCTCCGCAACGGGAGACGTCACAACAGTGAGAGGCCCGCGTACTGCAAAAAAAAAAAAAAAAAAAAAAGTAGACTGGTGCAAGACTGGATTTGGTTCTCTCTTTTAAGAGAATAAAGTTTTCTTGAAATACTGCTTTTGGTAACAGATTTTGTGAGCTTTTTTGCCTTTAAGTGATCTTTTTTTTTTTTTTGAAATTTTTTGTCACTTTGGTTAAGTGAGTGTTGTTTCACAGTGACCTGTGATCCTGTTTGACCAAGTGTTAATATTTCTGACAAATATCCCAAATATCAAATTCTAACAAAAGTTCTTTTGACCTCTGGTTACCTCTGGGATGCTTCAAAGGAACCCTAATCTCAGAGAGGATTATTAAACTAATTAGGCCTATTTGGTATGTTAAATTACTTGAGAAACATTGTCAAATGATTGGAGATGAGCCTTAGTTATATGGCATGGATAAATGTTATAGATATTCCAAAATTCATGTGAAATTCCTAAAATTCTGATATGCTCTGGTATAGTGTTATCAGTCATAATTCTAGTTATTATCTTAAAATGTTACATGTCATAGAAATACCCAAGTTTTTTGCCAGTTGCCTTGTAATCAGATCTTTAACCATGCCGTTTAAGTCTTGTCATTTATAGACAGTCATTGTTTTACTCTGAAGCTTTTATAAAATGGAAATCTTCAAGAAAATTCATAAAAAGGATTTCTGACAAATATAAGTTTCTGATAACTTTTGGATCATACCACTGAACTAGGTAACAAATTGCAAAACTAATGGAAAACCTGAACACTTCTTCCAGATCATCAGAAATTAATTACATGGGACTGAATGAACTGATAAACATGATTTATAATTTTATGACTTTTTCTGTAATATCCTGGCTTTTAATCTTTGTTTTCTAGAAAAACCTTTCCTCTTATGCTATGACCTACAAAAAGTTGATAAAGTATACCTTTATAAACAAAGATGAATCATTTATCTTCTTCACTCTACCTAGTCCTTACAGAATTTGGCTTCTCCAGCTGGGTCTCCTGTGGACTTGATGGTTTATTACAACCAAATTACAACTAGTTATACTAATCATTGTTTGTTCTCTTTGTTTCCAGATTGTTTATGCTTTGTGTTTCTCTCTGCTGTACTATGACCTTATTAATGTTACTAGCTTTATTACGTATCCCATCTAGTTTATAAGATTGTCTCTTGCATTACCCAATGTGTAACCAGGTCTCCAACAAAATTAATGATGGCTAAACATCTTGAGGAAATAGATCAATAATTGTAACAGTGTGATTCTAGATATGAGAAGAAGCAACAAGGGAAAACATTTCCTGGATCATAATAGACTAGTAAGACAGGTGATGCAGAGGATCTTACATTATCAACAGGGCCTAATCCAAAAAAAGTTAACACATCGAGTAGGCCATCAACAGAATCTTTGCCTGATCTAGGAATGAGCCTTCCTAGCACCATGGGACAAAATTGGTCATGAAATGTCTCCCAAATGTTGGTCGAATTTTATTACTAAGGGGAAGCACTGTGGGTGAAAAATGTTGCCTGCCATATCAACAGAGGATGCTGCAGCCATCACGCCATCAGCCACTACAAGCGCCCCGACGGTGAGCCCTGAGGGAACTCGAGGAGAGACAAGCGGGCTGCCACTGCCAAGCCCTCAGCCACTGCAGCCACCCGAAGGGCGCACCCTGAGGGGACTCAGGAAGGGAAAGAACAGGATCCTGGCCCTGGACAGCTAAGGTACATAGCAAAGAAATAATTTCAATAAGCTCAGACTCTTGCATCTTCTCATACATAGAAAAGTGTTAAATTCGTTAACTTGAGATGTTTGGTTTTCTTTAGTTAACAGTCATCTTTTGATGTTCTGGCTACCTGGTTTTTGCTGCAGAACTCCTGTATATCCTGTAAAGGCTGCTCCCTTACTTCTTTGGAGCGGCCTCTCAGAACTATCTTGAGAAGCTGCCTCCCAGGCTTGAGTGCTCAGAAAGTCCACCAAATAAAACATAATTCTCAACTTTTAGGTTGTGTATCTTTCAGTTGATATAACTCTGAGATTTGGAGGGTGTGACTGTGTCCTGCATAGACTAGGACCCTGGATACTGGCCACTGCTGTTTCTCTTTTGTGCATTCACCACCACCTATCAGCTGGACTTAAGCCTCCTTGGAGCATCACTGTGGTGGTGGTGGTTGTTTTTTAATTTATTTATTTATTATTTTTGGCTGCATTGGGTCTTCATTGCTGCGCGTGGGCTTTCTCTAGTTGCAGTGAGCAGGGGGGCTACTCTTTGTTGCCGTGCGCGGGCCTCTCATTGCAGTGGCTTCTCTTGTTGTAGAGCACGGGCTCTAGGCATGAGGGCTTCAGTAGGTGTGGCACGTGGGCTCAGTAGGTGTGGCTCGCGGGCTCTAGAGCACAGGCTCAGTAGTCGTGGCGCACGGGCTTAATTGCTCTGCGGTATGTGGGATCTTCCCAGGCAAGGGCTTGAACCTGTTTCCCCTGCATTGGCAGGTGGATTCTTAACCACTGCGCCATCAGGGAAGCCCCACTGTGGTGGTTTTGTATTTGTATCTCTAGACAGTGAGCCTCAATTAAAAAAAAGAAAAAAAAATGTAATCCTGTTTCAGTCCTTATATGTAATTGAAACAAATCTCATACTTTACTACTTGCAGTGCATAGATGTGTTTTTATTTTTAAAATGCTACTTAGGACACACTAAACGGTTCTGACCAACTGGGAATGATTTCTTAGGAGTGTAGAAGTTAGTGTTTATCTCCCGATTCAGCTTATTCTGGTGGTTGTGGAAGTGAATTTGGGATCCAAGTGGCATTTTTATTTCAGACAGCCATTCTCCAGATAGGCAGTGAAAAACAAGGCTTGATGAAAAAACTTGGCCCCAGAATGACAACGAATGAAATCTCAAAGCATAAAAAAGAGCCAGTCAACAACAACCCCTAGAACCTTAGGCTCTAAGAACCAGCTGGGTCAGGCAAGGGGCTAGAGGCTCTAGAGCCAAGGAAAAGCTTTAACTACCTTGTAAAGTCAGTCTCTTTAAATCAGCTGCATGACTCACTGCACCTACTATTGTTTCCTGAAACTAGGTCTTTTGTTCTCGCTACACCTAGAACATATCAGGTATTTATGTTGACTGTCGTGATCCCGCATTAGCACGCAATAATAGGACTAATTTTCCCCAGAAAAAAGGATAGTCCCATAACTTGTTCAGGGAATGGTATATAACATGGTACACAATACAGAAGAGCATAATTTTTAAAACTTCCTTTACATAGATTTCTAAGTTAAAAACTGTTGTTTTGCTTAATACTCTTAACCATGGGAGGCAGACAGGCTAGACTATATTAGCCTCATTTTATAGGCAAGAGTGGAAGCATTTCCATATTTAGTATACGACAGATCTGGGATATAAACCCTGGGGCTTCCACACTCAACTGCTCTTTTCCCGTGACTTTTTTTTTTTTTGCGGTTCACGGGCCTCTCACTGTTGTGGCCTCTCCCGTTGCGGAGCACAGGCTCCGGACGCGCAGGCTCAGTGGCCATGGCTCACGGGCCCAGCCGCTCCGCAGCATGTGGGATCTTCACGGACCGGGGCACGAACCCGTGTCCCCTGCATCGGCAGGCGGACTCTCAACCACTGCGCCACCAGGGAAGCCCTCCCGTGACTTTTTGATACATCATTTTAAAGTAATCTGACTTCACAGTGCTTTACAGTATAAGAGTAACATCTATAACATCTCATCCTGGCAGGTTCACTCTTGAGCCAGTTAACTGTGAAATAAAATTCATATTTTATGGAAAGAGAAGAAAAATTTAAACAAAAAATCTTCTCTGCCTTTTGGCCTCCTCTCTCCCACCACTGTGCATTGTGTATCTTGTATTATGCATTGACCAAACCTTTACCATCGGCGGAAATTTCTACTCAACCATAAAGAGCAACATTCTCCTAAGACAGTTCCTTAAAGGTAACATTCCTTCTTGATAAGGGGTCACATGGTGCTCAGATGTGGATTATGTAAATTGTCAATAATAGGTCATTTGATGTACAGCCCTCCTCTGTCTCAAAAAGCATATATAACTGTATCTTGACTTCTAATGGGCGGAACAATTCTCAGGGCTTTGTGAGATGCTCTTCCTGGGTTATAATCCTCAAATTTGGCTCGAATAAAATTTTCCATTTCTTTTTTAGATCGACTGATTAAAATTTTTCATCGACATATGCTTGGTGTAGTCAGCAGGATATCAGAGACTCCTGCCAGAGGCCACCGGGAGTCTATGCAGAACAAGTGCTTGGTGCCAGCGTGGGCCCATTGAGCCCCACCTGCTTCTCAGCACTCCCCAGGTGTTTTTGGTGGGCTCTCCTGATATTTGGATCTCATTGTTTGGGTGTTGATCCTAAAAGTTTTATTTGAGCTGGTTTTCACTTAAGACTTAGAGTCTTAAGGGGCACCGGTGCATTTCCTAGGCACCTAGGGCGTCTGGGCAAGAGGCCCAGGGAAACATGTGGCTGGGGTTTTGTTAAATTTGGCTTAAAAAAAAAAAGAGTTGATATATGGTCTGAACAAAACTTTTGCTAGTGAAATCAGAGACTGAATTATTCAGCGCCAAAGAATAAAGGGACATTTTGCTCCTTCCAGCCACAAGCCATCCTCAGATGACTGAGGATCTCTGGGAAGTGTCTGAGGATCAATTTTCATGATGTGTAGCGGTCCCATAGGGAAACCCCATTACAGTCATTAAGTAAGTACTGCTCATCCAGGTGGCGTGACAGAGGCTGATCACCTAGTGTTCCGAGCACCCAAGATGGTTTTAGGCTGTCATTGGGAGAAACTGAGCCACCTAAAAGAAGTCGAACCAGGGAATTCCCTGGTGGTCCAGTGGTTAGGACTCTGTGCTTTCACTGCCAGAGGCCCAGGTTCAATCCCTGGTCAGGGAACTAAGATCCAGCAAGCCACATGGTGCAACCAGAAAAAAAAGGTTAGTATCTGCAGATTTTGGTAACTTGAAACTAAACCAAGGTAAATTATGAGAATTCATTCACTATCTGGGTCATTTCAAACAGGATAAAATTCTGGAACATTAATTGCTGGGGAGGTCTACGTTCTTAGAAGAGGAAAACTAAAGCATAAGCATAAGTTTGTCAATCAGGAAATGCTGATATGACAAACACCATTTTTATTTATTTATTTTGGCTGCGCCATGTGCGGCATGCATGATCTAGTTCCCTGACCAGGGATCGAACTCGTGCCCCCTGCAGTGGAAGCTCGGAGTCCTAACCACTGGACCACCAGGGAATTCCAGAGAAAAATTAAGGTTTTAAGGTTAAGAATTATAAGGGAAACATTTCAGTATGCAAGGAAGTAGGATGTGTGTTTTCAGCAAAGAAGGTATGAGGATTGAAAATGCATTTTGTTAAAGGAAAAAAGGTTTTGTCCTAGAGCTGGTTGTTTCTGAATAGATACAGAAAGTTGTGGAAAGTTTGTGGAAAAGGAACACTGAGAGTTTTGTGCATGGTCAAAATTGGCTGAGATAAGATTGAACTTAATTAAGGAAATGTTTTTTTCTTTTTGCAGTACACGGGCCTCTCACTGTTGTGGCCTCTCCTGTTGCGGAGCACAGGCTCCGGACGCACAGGCTCAGCGGCCATGGCTCACGGGCCCAGCCACTCCGCGGCACGTGGGATCTTCCCGGACCGGGGCACGAACCCGTGTCCCCTGCATCGGCAGGCGGACTCTCAACCACTGCGCCACCAGGGAAGCCCAAGGAAATGTTTTAAAGGTAAAGTAGTATAAAACCTGAATTTGGTCCTCTAAGAGGACAAAGTTTTCTTAAAATATTGAACTGCTTTTGGTAATAGATTGTGAGTTTCTTTGTGTTTAAGTGATCTGTATTTGCCTGAGATTTTTTTTTTAAGTTTTTTATTTTTTTGGCCATGCTTTTGGCTCATGGGATTTTAGTTCCCCGACCAGGGATCGAACCTGGGGCCCTGGCAGTGTGCGCACCAAGTCTTAACCACTGAACCACCAGGAAATTCCCTGCTATTGAGAACTTTTATCATCACGCTGGTTAAGTGAATTGGTATTGTTTCACAGTGACCTGTGATTCTATTTGACCAAGTGTTTTAAAACTTTGTTGTTGTTTTTTTTTTCGGTATGCGGGCCTCTCACTGTAGTGGCCTCTCCCGTTGCGGAGCACAGGCTCCGGACGCGCAGGCTCAGCGGCCATGGCTCACGGGCCCAGCGGCTCCGCGGCATGTGGGATCCTCCCAGACCAGGGCACGAACCCGTGTCCCCAGCATCGGCAGGCGGACTCAACCACTGCGCCACCAGGGAAGCCCATAACTTTTTGATATTTTTGACAAACTTTCCAAAGATCAAATACTAAATGAAGGTCATTTGACCTCTAACTTTGAGGTTTTCCAAAGGGTCCCTGGAGCACCTCAAAATATTTGTTTTCTCTCCATCTCAGAGAGAGGAATATTTGGTATGTTAAATGGGGAGCAGTTAAATAGATGGTGATAAAACTTTAGTTTATGTCATATGTGTAAACATTATTAATATATATATTCTAGAAATTAAGTGGAACTCCCAAAATTCTGGTATGTCCTGGTAAGTGATATCAGTCATAATTTTAGTGTATGTCACAGCAGTAACCAAGTTTCTTTTCAATTGCATTGTAATCAAGTTCTTTAACCTTGACTCTTAAAGTCTTTTGTCATTTATAGCTAGCTATATGGTCAGTTAACCAGATATTTGGTAGAAATGAGGTTAACTTTAGAAAGAAAAAGATTATGTTTCAGTGAATATTCTAGTTTTGTTAATTCAGGCATTTACTGGCTAAGACTCACTTCTCAGATAGCTCCTTGCAAAGTTTAATTAAAAGGACACTGTTTCTGAAGGCTATCACAGTATTCTAACTTTGGATGAAGATCAGATCCACCGTGAGCTGCAACCAGGACATTATTCATATTGGAAAAGACATCAGGTAAAGGACTCCTTGGGCTTCCCTGGTGGCGCAGTGGTTGAGAGTCCGCCTGCCAATGCAGGGGACACAGGTTCGTGCCCTGGTCTGGGAGGATCCCACATGCCGCGCAGCGGCTGGGCCCGTGAACCGTGGCCGCTGAGCCTGCTTGTCGGGAGCCAGTGCTCCGCAACGGGAGAGGCCACAAAAGTGAGAGGCCCACGTACCACAAAAAAAAAAAAAAAAAAAAAAAAAAGACTCCTTGCAGCCGTGTTGGAAGGGACCATATCAGGCATCTCCTGAATGAACTGAAACTCGCTTTTGTTCTTTTTAATACATTTACTTATTTTATTTATTTTTGGCTGCGTTGGGTCTTCGTTGCTACGCGCGGGCGTTCTCTAGCTGTGGCGAGCAGGGGCTACTCTTTGTTGCGGTGCGCCGCCTTCTCATTGCGATGGCTTCTCTTGCTGCAGAGCACGGGCTCTAGAGCACAGGCTCAGTAGTTGTGATGCATGGGCTTAGTTGCTCCATGGCATGTGGGATCTTCCTGGACCAGGGCTCGAGCCCGAGTCCCCTGCATTGGCAGGCGGATTCTTAACCACTGCGCCACCAGAGAAGCCCTGGCAGGTAGATTCTTAACCATTGCATCACCAGGAAGCCCAGTGAGACCCCCTTTAACCAGCTAATTAATGCTGCCTGTTCTGGCCATAAATAATCCTTTATATTAGATGTTGAGTATCAGGTAGCTCCTAACGGGAACCAGTTGATTTATGGAACAAGTTTATGACCTTGGCTCTCCCCAGTAGGGAGATTCACAATTGGTTTCCCTTGGTCACTTACTTACAGGCAGCCTTGGAAATAGTTCCTGCCAAGCTGTCAGTCTGCCTTTAGTGCAGGCACACTGGTTTCTATCAGTTTTCCAATGGTACTACCATTTGGCCGTGATATTTAATTCACCTCATGACCCATGAGGAGTCAAACTTTTGCTCTGAACAACCCTCTCTCCCAGTTTAGAGGAAGTATTGATACTACGAAAATGGTTTGGTCCAGAATTTTGGCTTGAACTTTTGCTAATAACATTGTTCCTCCTCCTACCAATTTAAATGAGTTTGTGGAACTTACAAGGTGATAGTTTCTTGCCTTTCACACTGTGTCATTTGCTCCTACTAAGATAATGATGTTTGAATGACTTGGAACTATAGGTCACATCTATAGTTTTCTATAAAATTATGGACATACACAATGTACATGCAAGGAAAACTGGCTTAAGTACCTTTTTGGACAACTTGGAATTGGCTGTCAATCCTTGACAAATATTCTGCCAGTATAACCCTCTAAAAGAGAGAACCGGGCTACTAGGACCCGGCATCAAGGGACATGATAGACACTGAGGCGAGCAAGCAGCCCCCTAGCTTTGAGGGACCAAACATTTGGTCACCTAACGCTTTCTGTCAAAAGATTGATGATCAACAGGGGCAAACTGTAAGATACACATTTTATGGCAAGACAAGAAAAATTTAAACAAAAAATCTGTGCCCTTTGGCCTCCTGTCTCCCACCACTGTGCTGTGTTATCTGCGTTATGCATTGACCAAACCTTCCCCATCAGCAGAAATTTCCACTCAACCATAAAGAGAAACGTTCTCCTAAGACAACAATTCCTAAGGGTAAAATTCCTTCTTGATAAGGGGTCACATGCTGCTCAAGTCTGGATTATGTAAATTGTCAATTATACGTCATTTGATGTACAACCCTCCTCTGTCTCAAAAAGCTTATACAACTGTGTCTTGACTTCTAATGGGCAGAACAGTTCTCAGGGCTTTGTGAGATGCTCCTCCTGGGTTATAATCCTCAAATTTGGCTCAAATAAAATTTTCTGTTTCTTTTTTAGATCAACTGATTAAAGGCACAGGGGCTCAGCAATCTACCACCATGTTCTTAATAGGAAACACCCACTGGCTTGAAGGGAAAAAAGCCACCTTGGTAAGACTTGGTCTTCCACAGGGCACAGAACCAGAGGACACTAGCAAGGTCAGAGCCCATGTGACCAATCCTGGTAGTGCAGGACTTCTTCACATAAGATGACTGGGTCCCTGAGAAAGATCTACCAACACCCTAAACTTCCAAGAAAAAAACTGGAGTGTATGCATGCTTTCCTGGGGAAAGGGTCCTTCCCTTCGCATAGATCCAAGAGTCGGTTAAAATCCTGAGCTAGAGAAAAGCACTAAGCCAGCTGCAAAGATGATAATAAGGAAGCTACCAGATACACCCAGAGCCAGCCAGTCGGAGCTCACTAAGCCGTCACGGAAGTTAGAACACAGACTCACAGCAGACAACAGGGCATTGTTTTTGTGCGCTTCTTTCTAATTGTATTTCAAGTTCTTTCTAAAACAAGGCCCTTGGATACCCCAGGTTCAGTATGCCCCTGGGCCTGGTCCACTGCTGTCTTGTATTCATATGTGGGTATTTGTTCGTTCACCAACATTAAATCCCAGGATAGGTGTGATAAAACAGGACTCCCTCCTCCATGGCACAAGTCCTTTGCTGGTATGAGGTGGACGGCGGTCTTTGCAGAAAACACACAGGAACTTTTTCTTGGAACTGAAGTGGGATGAAAAGTGCCTGCCCTGAACATCGCCATCTTTTCTCTGACCCTTCCCCTCCAGTTTCTGAAGATACAGCAGAAAATAATCTTGCTTGAAGATACTGGGTAACAATTCCATAAAACAAAAACACATGCTTCCAACGCACTGTGCTTTCAGATATGCTGGGGAAGAAAAACAATTTCATTAATTCAAATGCAACTTGGCACCTAAGAGTAATCACAATAAAGAGCAATTTCAAAGAATTAACATTCCTTCAACAAGTGATGATTTAGATCTTCAGGTCCTTTTCGAAATTAGTTTTCAATATTATTCTCTCTCCACCTCCAGCTAAATGACCACAGCAACACAGAAGGTTTTCTGGTTAGTCAGTGTTTTCTATCCTGTAACTCTTGGGGTACACAAAACCCCATGCCCTAGCCAGGCATTCACTGTTCCAAGTATCTCCATCCATTAGACTTGGGAATACCAGCTCCCCTACCCCGAGTTATTCTCATACATTCGTAAATGCAAAAAGATCTTTTAAGAGGCAAGGCATAGCCCATCCAAAGTCAGCCCAAGGGCAGTTTTCAGCCCTGCCTTACCTGGGTTTAGTTCAGCTGCCGGATGAGCTGATTGATGCGTTCACCTCGATAGCCAGGTGAGCCCACTTCCTTGAGGAAGCCCACTCTATTCTTGGTAGCGTGACGGGCTACTGAGAGTTGGAAAGGGCGCAAGAATCCTGAGATCACCTGAAAATTCTTCCCCGGAAAGGCAATTTCGTGAATGAGGTCTTCCAGGCAAATGACACCAAACCTCCCTAAGAAACATAAGGTTCAGATTCCTTTATTCATTTTTCCCAGCACACACAGTGAAGCTCTTATATGCCAGAGCTCGGCACTCTGGCAGGTTCTTGGGACTCTTTCTGCTCCGACTCCTAAGTTCACTTACCCAGGTGCTCCTCAATCACCGTGTTGTCTGTCAAAGGGATGATTTTATTCTTGACCTTGGCTTGTCCACGTTTCAAGATGAGTTCCCGAACTGACTTCAAATTTGGAAATCTATGTGTGGCAGAGTAAAATACAACCTCAGCCACCTCCCCACGGCCACCAGGCGCACTGTATTAACTGGCCACACAGTCCAGCACCCTGGCTAAGGATTCTACCAACCCCCCTCCCCAACGTGTCCTGCAACATGCTGCAGCTGGGATGCCTGGAAATTCACCTGAAGGAGGTGAAAAACCCAAGCGGCCCTATGTAATTAGAAATTAAAATTTATGCATACAATCGCTCACCAAATAAAGATTTATTTTCCAGGCAAAAATACATCCTGGCTTATCGTCTAGGACTTTGGCCTTAAGTGACCCTATTCAAGAGTTTGAAATGAAATCCAAGGCTTTTTTGGGTTTTACTGTTTGAAGGAATACTACCTAGCTCTGCTTCAAGATTCCAAGAATTAATCTGTCCTCTACTTGTCTTACTCAGCCTTAGCCTACAGCTGACCAAGCCCTGCCACAGCCCTGTTCAGACCATTGTCAGCCGCTCTGGGAACCCCCACTCTACCCGCCCTGTGTTCTGAGACTCTCAAGGCTGGCAGCTGATTCCTGATGACTGTGGTCGCAGCAAAACGTCCCCTGGACACGGCAACATGAGCACTGGAGGACAGTACCCTGTGCCTCCCAATGTTCTCAACCTTTTCAAACATGTGAATTCACACAAAAATCCATACTCACCCCCAGGTCACATAAGGTTCCACTATACGAAGCGTTTTTATGGTCCGAGGAGTTACTTGCATAAAGACACCACTGAAAATCTTACTCAGGCGAAGTCTTGCAATGGTCCTCTGCACCAGTAAACTCACCCCATTAATCCTGAAATGAACACCAGAGCAAGTCAGGCTCTGTCCAGCAAGCACCCATGAAATGTCTGCCACTACTGGGCACCCAGAGGGTAGGACACAGACCGTGACTTACAAAGTGCAACTGAATGGGAAGCAGCTATGTAAACAGGTCATTTCCATGCTATGTGGAGCAATACCTGAGGTGCTAAGGGAACAGAAATGATCCCTGAATTTGTGTGTGTGTGGGGTTGAACACATCAAGCTAAGGAAGCTAGGCTTGCTTCTGTGAGCATTAAAAGCTATGGAAGATTTTAAGGACTTCCCTGGTGGTCCAGTGGTTAGGACTCCAAGCTCTCACTGCCGAGGGTCTGGGTTCAGTCCTGGTCAGGGAACTAAGATCCTACAAACCAGACAGCAGGGCCAAAAACAAAAACAAAAAAACCCAGAAAAAAACAAACTATGGAAGATTTTAAATAAAGGAGACATGATCAGATTTGTTTGGCCATCACTGAGGGAGCATATAAAACAAAATAGTGCATGACACCAGAGTCCGGGAAACCCAGCTAGAAAGCTGACGTGATAGTCCAGGAAAGAGATTATGGCAGTGGTAGGAGACTCATACATATTTAAAACCCACAGGTGACTGGGTAGGGAAACAGGCAGAGCTGTATGTGCTGATAGGAATAGGTAAGGTATCACTAAACATGGAAAACGCTTTCTGTACTCTCCCCAGCACTGAACATGCTCCATCCACTCGACCCTGGTTCAGTTCCTAGAAGATGCCTTGATCCGCCACTTCAGGACTTTTTCCATCTGTGCCTGGAAAGCCTTCTCCCAACCCTTTCATTTTTGTAGGTCTCACCTTCAAGTTCCTGCTTCCCAGTGTCCCAAACCATGACACACCACACCGAGGGCCCCTTGTCCCCACATCCAGCACTTTACCCTCAAAGCAGTCAGTGTATTCTCATGTCTGTTTGCTTAAGCTCAGTCTCCCTAATCTTGAAGACAAAATCTATGTTTTGCTCAACCCTGAATTCCTAGCATAACTTGCATTAATGGCTTAAGGCCTACTATCTCATGTCCCTAAAAAGGGCCTAAAGCTGAACCAATAGTTTGCCCCAGCCTCATGAAATCCAGCAAGTTCCCTACCTTTCGATGCGTAAAACAAAGGCCAAGGAATGCTTATCTGGCACTTCCAAGCCATGAGGTTTCACTTCTAGTCGTCTGAGTCGCACCTTGTCACGTAGTTGCCGCCAGGAATCATGTAGGAACCATTCTAGTCGCTTAAACTTGATCTCTTTTCCTTTCCTCTGCTACAGAGAAGGCAAACCATCACCGTTTTATGCCTCTAGTCATCTTTACTTCCACAACAGTAATTCATTAGTCACTACTGATAAAGCTTATTTCCCCCTATGTTCTGGAAAGGGGCGCAGACAAACATTCTCTATTCCTATATAGTGGGAAAACCAAAATACCCGAGTGAAGGTGGTGGTGAGAAAACTTGGGAACTTATTGGGAAAAGTCCCTGCTAAATAAATAAACACCCAATTAATTTACGTGCTGTCAGCCAATGTTTACCAGCAAGTGTTTATGGAACCTAACACTATGTTAGGCATCATAAAGCTCACACTTCGTTACCTGCCTCCAAAATACGTATTTCTCCAAAAACATTTAGCAAATAGCAAAAATCGTTTGGTATATTAAAAAAGTTTTCTTTCAGGTACACAAGCATGTTTGGTCTCTCAAGTCACTTGGTATGAACCTGGAACTCTCCGTTCACTTTTTCCTTAACAACTTTATGCCAGTATTTTGTTCGCTGAAAGTGATACATATTTGCTAAGCAAAGACAAGAACCCTATACCTTGCATAATCCAACCGATGGGAGAAGAGACTGTCAGTACCAAATCTAGTTCAACACATGCTGGATAAAACTCATCAAATACAAATTCTAATTCCCTCCACCTGGTTCTCCACCATTACCTCCTTCCTTTGCAAAAGCGCCTGCTTTGCCTGGGTGGCTTTCAGGGCCTGATAAGCCTTCCTCTTTTTCAGGAGATTTTCTGGAACCAAAGGGATCTTTTTTCTTGGCCTGACACAGAAAATGGAGACAAACGATAGTATTAAGTAAACAAATCTTCAATGGATTTCCGAAAGATATCCTGGGCTTCGGGAAACATTACTGTCTTCAAATTACTAAGGACTGAGGCGCCTCTGAAATCTGTGGTTTCTGGCTCCAGTCTTCAAAATGGACCTCTCACATTCCCTCGTCTCCAAAACCTTTTAAAAAGTCATGAACCCCTTAACCACTGGTCCTCATATACGTCAACAGAGCTTTTAGTGCCACAGCTTTACAGACACCATCAGCGATGAGATTCGGCCCCGTGGGGCTGGGACGGGTGCAGACCCATCTGTAGGGGTAACACTTAAGCCAGGCTGGAGTAACCCACTCTCCAGCCCCGCTGCCTAAAAGTCAATCCTCTCCCCTTGAGGTAACCCGAACTCGACTGCAGCCCCCTCCGCCCGCCCACCCACCCAACCCCTACGGCTCCTTACTCCTCCCTCTGTAATCTGGAACCTTTCCTATTCTCTCCCTTCAGTCCACAATTATCCTTATTTTCCGCCACCGAGAAATAAACACTGTGGATGGCACCAGATGCTCGAGACGCCAAGCCAGCGGCTCACAGCCCCCAAAACTTACTCTTCCTCCGCCATCTTTCCAACTCTGCGGCTACTGCTCATGCGCAGCCCCACCGCGTGGGGAAGAGAGAACCTTCTCTGTTTACTCGACCATAGAGACGTCTACTCTAGCCCCTGGAGGGGCGGTCCGGGCCGTTTTAGCGGCAGTGAACAGCTGAGGTTTTGCTAATCCCGATTCCCGCCAAAAGTTGCACAAAGCTTCCTTCGCACCGCTTCGAAGCTTTTTAGAGCCGTGTTATCTTCAAAACACAGCCTTTTTTTATTCCAGCTGTACTCTCATAATGCTGGAGGCCACAGTGTAAACAAACAACGAAACGCTTCCCACAATGCACCGACTTCCGGTGGGGGTGGGAGCTGCTCCTCCAATTTCCGCTCGCTGGGCTGCACGTTTCCTTTTCTGGGAGGGAAGAGCTGGGTCTATGGTTTTGGCTCTCACGTGTGGGTGGAGCTGTGTATGGACTACTTAGGACGGTGAAAAAAGGCAACTCTGATTCTGTCGGCCTGGCTCCGTCAGTGGGTCCCTGAGCAAGTTCTTTAATCCCTCTGTCCCTTAGTTTCCTTTACCCATTAAATTGACATAATGATGGATCTTGCTGTAGCCTTAGGCGAGTTATATGAGCTACTCCATATAAAGCGTTTAGCACAGAGTCTGGCAGTAAGCAGTTAACACTTTGTTAATTATTATTGGTGCTGAACCGAAAACTAGAAATTCCAACTTACCAAGTCAGGACCTTCCCTCATATAGTTCTTAACCACCTGCCATATGCTTCCTTCTTTCCCGGTCTTCATAAAACAATGAAAAGTCCCGTCCCGTGTTTTTCTGAAACCTCTAGAGCAGGCGCGTCTCAAGCATTAATGTGCATAGGAGTAACCTGAGGATCTTGTTAAAACGCACATTTTTTATTCAGGAGGGGGCGGGGGTTGCTATTCTGCACTTTAAACATGCTTCAAAGTGATGGGGATACTTCACGTCTGTGACCAGCAGAGTTCTTGAGTAGGCTCTATCCTTCTGAATTCCTTCAGCAAGTTGTTATATTTTTAACATTTCTTCGCCATGATACTAGGAGAGTATCACTGATCCTAAGAGTCTAGCACAGGTTTTTCAGTCTCGGCACTATTGGCATTTGGGGCGAGACAATTCTTTGTAACGGAGGCTGTCCTGTGCATTGTAGGATGTTTAGCAGCATCCCAGGCTTCTACCCACTGCATGCCAGTAGCATCCCCACCCCAGTGGTGACAACAAAACTGTTTCCAGGCATTGCCAAATGTCTAGCACAGTATGTATATTTCTCTTAAGGTCTAAGGCAATGTCATATTTTGACAGTGCTTACAGGCATATCCACAGACTTTATCCTGTATTGTTTGGCTTGTTTTTCCTGATTAGACTGGCTTCTCTGGAGGCTGAGAAGTTGTCACATACTTCTCTGAATCTTCTACAGCACCTCTGACAACAATGGGCACCTGCAGGGGCTGGTTAACCATCTTAAGCTCAAGGCATCGTATTGGTATGTGCTATGTAATTAGTTCAACCAGAAAGACAGTACCTTGCGCAGAGCTCAGTAGCTGACGAATAAATGTCAAAGGTCTACATAGTCTTCAGAGTCACAGGCTATGGCGTGAGCTTCATTTTTACTCGCTCTTTCAGCACCTCACCATGTGTCTTACTTTGTGGAAAGGCAAAAACAGAAAGGTTGGCAAACTGTAAAGTGTCCATTAAATAGTAAACAAGAAACAAAAAAAGTAAACATTTTGTAACTTCCCTGTCTACAGATAAAAGGTAGGTTCTGTGCTACTGAAGGTATTTCAGAGGTATTAACAATACAATACTCCTGGCTGAAAGACTCGGAGGCGGGGATTCAGGAAAGGCTTTCCAATGCCAGCAGATGGTGCTAGAAGAGCACTTATTCTCAGTGTGAAAGCCATCGTTCCACCAGACTGATCCAAAGAAAAAAGAGACGGAGTCCTCCTGAACCCAAACATGTTCACTAACTGAAAACATGCTTACTGACCATTGAGCATATGCCCTGGGCCCTGGGCAAGACATGAGATTTTAACTGACATTCCTGAATGAGAATGGGGCAGGGCCATTTACAGCCTCAAGAATCTTATTCTTTTTAGCCTGTCCTCATAGGCCTCTGTTCTCTTTTTTCTTGACCATTTCAGTTGTCCATCATTAGGGAATAGTTAAAAAATGTATGGAAGACCATGCAATTATACGGAGTGAGGTAGGTCTTTGTGTCCCGAAATCTCGATGGGGAGTATTTTTTATTTTTTTGCCCACCGACATCCATCCATTTCTCTTTTGGACTGATCACTCCCTCATTGAATAGTCTTTGGAGGGTGGAGTATCTAATCCAAACACACTTGCCCTCCCAATACATAAACTGAAGGGGTCTTTGGAAGATCTTTTCAACTCCTCCCACTTCTCCATAAGACCCTCTCTTCCAGGTTTTGAATCTTCAGCAGAGTGATGTTGGAAGAAGAGGAGGAGACTTCGTGTTTTTTTTTTTTTTTGCGGTTCGCAGGTCTCTCACTGTTGTGGCCTCTCGCGTTGCAGAGCACAGGCTCCGGACGCGCAGGCTCAGCGGCCATGGCTCACGGGCCCAGCAGCTCCGTGGCACGTGGGATCTTCCCAGACTGGGGCACGAACCCGTGTCCCCTGCATCGGCAGGCGGACCCTCAACTACTGCGCCACCAGGGAAGCCCAAAGGAGGAGACTTTTAAGGATTTCCACCTACTAAGACCTCTTGGAGTTTTCTTATTCCTATCTTTCTCAAGCCCTTTTTTTTTTTTTAATATTTATTTATTTATTTAGGCTGTGCTGGGTCTTAGATGTGGCACGCAGGATCTTTGTTGTGGCATGTGGGATCTTTAGTTGCAGCATGCATGCAGGATCTAGTTCCCCAACCAGGGATCAAACCCGGGTACCCTGCATTGGGAGCTTGGACTCTTACCCACTGGACCACCAGGGAAGTCCCTCTCAAGCCTTTAAGTTCTTCAATCTTCCCTTTAATTTTTATCCTTCCTATAAAACTCCTTTATGCTGGTTAACCAAGCAGACTGGTTTCTGATGCTTAAAACCAAAGAATCCTGACTATAAAACTGCAGATATTTGGTTACATTTGAAAACGCAAGATACAGAAGAGAATAGGGTTTTAAGAGAGTGGTTCCCACTTGTTTTGTTGTTTTTGTTTCTTGGCTATAGATGTACTTGTATATAACAGTTTTGGAAGGATGTACAAGAAAGAGTTGATGGGGGTTATTTTTGGGAAATGGGAGTGGGGCCTGGAATGGGAGGAAGACTTACAGTTGTGCTTTGCCTTTGTTTATCACTTACGTATTAGTTTAAGACAGCGCTCTCTGGGTAATTAGGTTCTTGTGATTTGCCTGTTTTAGAAGCCACTTGACTATACTTTTTTTTAAAGACTCCTTTCAGGACCAACATTTTGTGGTTCTTTGAATTGACTCCAGGATCCCTTTCCTAACATATCCCACAATAAGTTATTTCAGTATTGTCTGCATTTGGGGATTATTTGGAATCCATGCCTTCTCGGTAAGGCAAAACCACCACACCCCACACACCGAAAAGGGGGCTCAATTTGCAATTTCCCATCTGCCCCAAACCTCTTTCTTGGATTATGACCCTTCTTGCAGTTGACTTCGTTTTGCTTCAAGTTTTCCTTGTTGCTTCCTCAGAGAGTGATGTGGGTTACCAGGAGGCAAGTGGGAAGAGCAGCCAGATGAGCCTGGAGTCAGGGAAGACAACATGGACAACAGCTTTTGATCCTGATGCAAAACGAGCAAAGGGAGCAAAAGTGAGAAGGAAAAGGAGAGAACAGCTGGAGGGCAGCAGCCTTCTGAGGGTCGAGGGTAGACACAGGAGAGCTAGGGTAGGAAGGAGACGGTGTGCAGTAGGTAAGAATAAATGCAAAACGGAAAAAACCCAAACCTCTTCTCAATTATTTCGGGGATAATGGAACATTAGCTTTTCCTACCTTCCACACTTCTTCAGTAAGACTTCATTTTACACCCTAAGAAGTAGAGGGTCGGGACAAGTCTTCCTAGTTTATCTGCAAGGAAGCTGAGGCTGAGAGTAACTTGCACAAAGGTGTCTGATGATGGGTTAGGTGAAGTCCTGGGACCTGTTTCCAGATTCTGCTGCCAAAGGCACCTTCTGCACCCGCCCGCCTCCCACCCCCCATTGTACTGCTTTCCTTGACCTTCACAGACACGATTTTTCCCTAAGGATCTCACCTTTGAAAGTGTTTTCAAAGGCCAGGCTCCAGCACATGCCTAAAAGGAATATAGATGAGGGACTCATACCGGCCTTTTACCTGCAGCGGTGTACATACAGGCTGTTTACATTACAGAATCCACTTTATACTGCAAATGTGCTTCTACAATTTGTGTGTCCGCTGAACCAGTTTTCTCCACGTAGTTAACACTATAAAATTCCTCTATCTTCATTCCTGTGAAAAGTGTCATACTTTTTTTTCTCAAACATACCTCAGGAAATTTCACTAAGAACCATGGAACTAAGCGGGGCACGGGAATAGAGGTCACAGCTCTCTACCAACTGGCAATCTGGAAGAATTTTAGCCCCCGTTTCTTCTCTCTTGAAATGTAGTTAGTTATGTGCTTGTTTCCTCTCTAGACTGAGCTGAGAGTAGAAATCATACCTGAATGATCTGTAGACTCCTAGTGTCTAGCACAGCGCCTGTAAAGTGCTCAATAGTTCAGTGCTTAATGCCAGACACCCAGGAATCCTCCGTCTCAGAGCACAAAGGCTGAAGCAGAGCCAGAGCCCAGATCCAGGGCTCAGCCCTCCTGAGGACAGCAGAGCTCGAGTCCTGCCTGAGCAATGCTGTTTCAGTGCCCCCAGACACTGGAGTTTCTTTCTTTTCCCATTCCTTTCCCCCCAGTAAAACCCTGGCTACTCTCTCCACACCAGGCAGTGCTAGGGCCCCTCTCCTGGGACATGGCCTCCTGTACACAGGCCTGAGGGCTTTAACCATCCTAGGAGAAGGTGCCTGGTCTTTCCTCTGGGCGTGCCTCTGCGGAACACACAGACTCTGATCCCGATTGAGCGGTCAGATGATCCTTCTAACTCTTTATTCATGGGACACACCCATTGCAAATGGCCTGAAGAGGGGCGAGACAAATGTGTGTCATGTTGGACACACATTTGTCCTTAGCAAGGAGAGAAGCTTGACAGCAGGACACCACTGTAAAAGACATTAAGGGATCCATCCACTGATGTAATTATTCTAGCCATAATTATTCTAACTTCTGTTAGTTATATGAGGACAACTTCCACTTTATGTATCGATTACTGAAGAATCTTGATATCCTGACTGCTACTACCTTATTGGTGGTAGTGGAGAGCAATTAAACCATAAAGTAGGGAGTCTAAAAAAATAAAAAATAAAAATAAAATAAAGTAGGGAGTCTAAGTATAAATTCTAGGCCCCGAAGGAACACTTAAGGAGTCTTATACCCTTACCCCAGGAAGTTACCCCTCTGTTAGTTTCCCTAACAATTTGCGTAGAGTCACACTTGTGAGGGCAGGAACTCAAACGGGCTCAGTGGGGCTGATTTTACAGATAAGGTTACAATTTGGTCAAACGTGTGAATCCAAAGAGAAACATGTTAATTCTGGAATAAGTTTTATGTAAAATAGTTTTTTACTTTTTTCATTTCTTACCTATCCCTTAGCCTTCTCGTTCCTGCAGAAACAAAAGAAATGTAACGATTAAAGAAAAATTCCTGCAGATTGAGGCACATTTATCTAACTTTTAAATGACCTCATTTTTCCTTCCTCAGTTAAGGGCCCATGTGAGGGGAGCAGGGAGGGAGGGCGGAGATGTTCATGACTAAACTTTCTCCTTGACCAATTTTGTTTAACTTGTAATTCAGAAAGGCTGATCAGTTAAAATCCTACCCCCTCACTGGCAGGGGTATTCTTTGGTAATGGTATTTGATAACAGAACTCCCACTGGACATTTACTTACCCTTTTCTTCTGGGAAAAGCAGCCATTCCTCTTTGCAAAATCAAGACAATCACAGTTGCACATTTTCCCAAATCTTTGGCTGTATTGCAATGGTTGTTTCATTTTGTAATCTCCAACTAAACATTTCCTAACCATGGATTAACAATATAGTTACTGACTGGTTTCTTTTAACAGTATTTATCCAACATAACAAAATAAACTGCAATTTGTTATACTTTTTTTTTACAAAACATTTTATAAATATTTTTACAAAATGTATACAAAGCAATTTCAAGTGAGACATACTATACAAATGAAGGTATTTAAGCAAATAAAGCCCACACCACACTGACAGTGAGTGACGCGTCCTCTTTAAGTCAAGTCAGTCTGTAAGGCCTCCCTAATCTAACAAAGTCTGCTAAATTCTTCAGCGCTAAAATAGTTCTTTTTCGTAATTGCCAGTTTAAAATTTGCTTTATCTTTAGGCAGTACTTAAGGACACAGAAAATCAAATGCTTAATAACAAATTCACACTTTTCCACAACAGGAAAAAAAAAAAAAAAGAAAAGAAAATGATTTTTGTTACTGAGTATGAGTAGCTCTAAAACTTAACTTTGACTAATGAATCTGAACAACTGAATGTTGGCCATCCGAGGCTGAGCTCTCACCCTCCACCAGAGGGGCCTCGACATGCGAGTTATGACCTAATCACAGGAGTAAAATACATTTCATAATCGTCATTTGTCATTATCTAGAATCTTTCCTCCATAAAAAGTAAACTTACATACAAGGACACAAAAATTTACAAGTTTCATTTTGGTAAATTAGGCTCTCCGTTTTCTAGACAAGTGTCAAGGCTTAAAAAACCCTTTAAGATGGTATATCGAAAAGTTGGGACTGGGGTAGCAGGGCAGGGTAGGGAAGAAAGAGAGGTGACAAACGTACATGGAGCTTATCTTGTCTCTTAAGCATTCCACTGATTCAGTAATTAGTGTAACTCATTAGTAGCCTCCGTGAAGGCTTCTACGTATAAATTTCCACAATGAGAAGAATTTGATCAGGAGGGACCATCTTTAAGTCTTGCTAGGAATTAGGGGAGCATGAGCCCTAAGAGAAGAGCCTATGAAATCATGGGGTTCAGGGCAGGGTGTTACCCCAGGGCTACCCAAACAGAAAGTTCCAACTGGCAATACCAACTTATCTTTCTAATATGTTACAATACAGGAAGAAGGGGAAATCTGCAACTTGGACATTGGCACAAATAAGGAAAACATGGTCACCGTAAAATGGCCCAGATTTTCCAATTTCTATTGGCTCAGGGGTGGGAGTGGGGAGAAGGTATTTTGCTTTTGTGAAGACTGGCTGTCTCACAGGGTTTCTTTGTTTGGGGGACTAAGGAGCAGGGAGAGTCTAGGTCTTCTGTTACTGTGTTTTCTAGTAATCAGAAGCCTTCCTTTCCATTGCAGGCCAACCTGGAAGAGAAATGCCCAACATGACGACAGGGGGGTCATCCCCATTCTGGGGATGGCCAGAAGCGGATCTTGGCAACACGTTAGGGTGGCGCAGCATGGGTTGTGCCTCTAAAGCCAGAGAGATGGACAGAATAAGTGAGAGCCCGTGCACATAACAGGGAGGGCGAGCGTGTACACACTGTCGCCAAAATGACCTCTGGATCTGAACAGCCCAGACACACGCACGCACACATGTATGTAAGAGGGTACATACAAAATACCACATGTAGCTTTCCCAATGCTAGGAGATACTGATGGTTACAATGACATTGAGAATGAAAGTGTCAACAGAAATGGGATGACCTGGGGCAGGTATACAAGAAAGGAAACTGGGGAAAGCTCCCTGAAAAGAAATATAAATAAATAAAGCAATAAATCACGTTCACGAACATGAACGTGGGCCAAACACAAACTATGGCAGGGAATGTCCTTTGGCTCTCAAGTGGGAATCCCAGGTCTCAGATCTTTCCTCTCAGTGGTGGGCTGGCTGGTTACCTTTGGTTTGTCTGTGTTTTGGTAATGATTGCTGCCAGGGGTGACTACTGTTCTCAGACAACAAGAAGCAGAAACAAGGCCAAAGTCCCCTTAACGTTTAAACTGAAAAATTACAACATAGTTTTCAAATGAAAATACTTTTGACGCTTGCCTATTTGTTGTGGGAGGGGTGCAAAGAGAGGTTAAATGCAACAAAACCCAGCAACCAACAAAAACATACATTGTATGCTGCCTAGATCCAATTATAGAACGCAAAACCCTTGTTTTTTCTCAATAGTTAACATATATATGCTTTTACATATATACATATTATAAACCTCATGGCTCTATCCTGGCCTCCCCTGTACACTGTGCCACTTAACTGGTTTCCATTTTCTTTTATTTCGCCTGGTGAGATTATCTCAAGTCGTGCTGTCGCAACTCAAAACAAAGTATTCCCTAGATGAAACTCAACGCGGATATGCTGAAGAGGTGAGGTTTTGCTCCGGGAGCATCAGAAAAGCACTTGAACGATGAACAGGAAGCCCTGCTTGTGCGCTACAGGTGCTCACGCCAGGGCCGTGGGTCCTGGCAGAGCAGCCAGGACTAACTGCTCGGAGGCGGCCAAGGGGAGAGCCATGTGGTCTCCCGGCCCATGACACCCCAAGACCCCCCCAAAGCCAAAATTTGGAGATGCAGTGGGATTTCTTTAGAAAGTATCTTCTATCAGTCCTGTTTGATTTTCTTTAATAAGTCTGTTCTTTTCAAATGACTTATGATTGTCAGAATTTTACCCAGGGCCTAGTGTACTGTGATCTCATTGAGTTACAGTGTTTAAAAAAAATAAAACAGATAAACAAAAACAAACAAAAAAATGACTATAAGCACTTTCAAAACACTTGAAATGTGTAGGGCCCATCAGACTGCTTTCTAACAAGGATCAGTTTTACTGAAGGATCTCCCTGTAACCACGACGAGTATTGCTCTTAAACAAAGAATGGGATTGAGATTAGAAAGAATAAGCTGTGATGAAAGATCAAGCAGGCTGGAGACAGGAGACCATTTCCATTGCTTTTGCCAGGAAAGAATGTAACTTGTCTGGGGCAGGGTCTCAGGGGCAGGTGGGGGAGGACTGCGGCTATTAACACTCTAGGATACTATTTACAGCTGCTTCTAAAATGGAGTCAGTTTCTACAATGCCTTCACTGTGGTCCGGGATGAACTTTTCCAGGCAGTTTTCCTGCGAAGCCATTGGAGAAAAGTTGGGGAAATCTAACTCAACAGAGCCGCTAACCGTGGGGTCACTCTGGGGCTGCCGCCCCGCCTTTTTGAGTTCCAAGATGTTCTTAAACGTTGTTTCTAAACTCTTAGTGAGCTGGAGATCAGGCTGGGGCTCGGCTGACCCTTTCATGATGTCTGTGTGTAAAACTTCATTCTTTGGAGAATTCCGCAGAGTCTTGTCCTGGAAGGAGCTATTACACGTCATCTCCAGGTGCGAATCTACTAGGAGGCTTGAGAGTTTGCTCTCAGGACCGTGATCTGGTCTGGACGAGTTCTTCCGGTGCCCTTCAGGGCCGGGAGAGCACTCACTGCCTTTCACAGAGTCCTTCCGGCTGGTTTTCTCTTCAGACGCACTCCGGTACTGAACTGAGCCCATTTTGTCAAATTTCAGTGCTCTGCCGAGGCATTCGGTTTTTTTAGCAATGTTTCCTTCTGCGGAGACCACGATGTGATTAGGCACTAGATGAAACTGGTCATGATTCGTGGGTTCTGCCGCGCCTGCTTTGGCTCTGTCTCTGCTCTGGGCCTTGGCCGTCAGATACACAGAACTGGCTGTTTTACTGCCGTGCTGGTCACTCCTGCCAAACTGCGTCTCATGAGCAGCTTTATCGAGTTTGAAGGAACAACAGAAATCAGCCTGAAAGCCCTCTGGAAATGGGAACAAAAAGAACGTTAATGAAAGAATGAGACAGGACTAGACAGTGGCCCCTCAGTGGGTCAGGTGCAAACCCACCCCACCCTACCCCACCACACCGAGTCAGCTGTTCATGGCCAGGAATGTGCAGAAGCACAGCACTTGAGGGGCGTCCTTGAAAAGGAACTGAGGCTGCGGGGCTGCAGCTTCCAGAGGAGCTTAAACCTCTTTGAAAAAGGAGCTGCTGGATGACAAATGGGAAAACCCAATGGGCAAAAAGCTCCACTTTGTCTTGGTCTCTCACTGTAGTTTTGGATCAGTTTTTTATTAACGACTGCTTTGAAACAGTCTGAAAACAGCAAGCAGATGTTAGTATCAGCCTCGTTTCTTCCTTGGAGCAGAAGGCCCTGAACAGAGGCTCTGGCGGGGGGCCGGGGAGGACACAACTACTTGTCTGTGGGTGATCGCACTTCAGTCCCTCTAAACGCGTGGCAGGGGACCTGGCATAACTGGTGGCACTTTGCCAGGAACACAAAACGAACGATCAACATGCACCTTAAATGGCATCTGCTTGGAAGGGCGGTGGGGTATGGAGGAACCGGGTCTGAGGGTGAGTGCTGACCTGTGCCAGGCTTGAAGAGCCAAGGATGGCGAGAGAAGTGTTAGTGAGGATTTAGCGGGTGGGGGGTACGGAGGGAGGGAAGCAGGTTGCTGTTATGCAAGGGCAAAGAAAGTGTTCACTCTGGAAGTAATGAAAGTGAAATAGAGCTTTGGTGATACCTATAAAGCCACAAACGTGGATTTGTTCACTAAATCCCAAAATATGAGATCTAGGGGATACAGCCTTGAAATCAAAAAAGGCGATTCCACCCAACAAACACTGTGCACGTACAATACAGAGGAGGACGGAGCATGCCCCTGCCCACGTGACACCAGGCCTGAGGGGCTGTGACAAAAGAGGAGGGTTTATCCCCAAAGCCCAATTCACCCAGTGGCAATAGGGGATTTCACGTTCTAAGAAAGAGGGGCAGAAATATATCTCACATTATTCTCTTGTTTTTTGGAAAGATTTGAGGATTCTCCTAGGTATACAGCAATTCCTTAGGACTCTCCCTTTACACTGAGTATAAGGATCATGTATTCTCTTTGAAAATTTCTTAAGCCACATCAAACACAAGGCTGAACCTTAATATTTAAGTATCAGAAAAGATGTTAGAAAAATAGAAGTAAAGCCAGAGGAAAATAATATTCCAATAGGAGGGGAATGGATTAGCCAAATTATAGAATTAGTATATTAAAAATTTATTAAATATTATTTTGAAGACTATAGCAACAGGATAAAAACTTCAGATGTGTTAAATGGAAGAAAATTAGAATAACAAAATCACATCTAGCACATGACATATGATTATAATTATATTATAAGTGATGTATGCAAATGGGAACCATAACTGGAAGAAAACTTGGAGAAATAAAAACATTCCTTTTCTAGGATGGTAAAAGTCTGGGTAAAAATTGATATTCCACAAATTGTTATGTTATTCGATTTAAGAAATTTTAGACGCTAGAAAGAAGTACAGAGAATTCATTTTTAAACGGCAGAATGTGGGTTGAATCTAGCACAGATGCAAATGGCAGGAAGCTGATGGGGTGCGGGAAGAGTACCAACAAGGAGCACTACAATCTACTAGAGCCTGTGGGCAGGGACCATGTTTCACTGATTCCCCCCCAACAATGCATTGCACATAGTGAGAAAACTCAATCATTTGCTGAGGTTTAGTTGCTTCTGGGAAGGCTTCTGACTTACTTTAGTTCTCAAAAACTAGGGAAAGATTGATAAGTCTGAGTTTACAATGGGGAAGAAGAATCACTTAACTGAACGTAAAATTCCAGTTTGGATTTTGCAGAACAACCTTTTCAGAGTATTCATATCCTGCTCTCAACTCTGGATTTTTTTCTCCCCAGAATTCAGGATCTACCTTCAGGTTTCAAACTCCAAGGTCACTTCAGACAGTCTCCGCAAAGCCATAGTCCCTGAACCCTGGCGGTAGCTCTCCTCTGCTTTTACTCTGGCGTTTCTTACCGGGGTCTACAAGTGCCAGACGCTTGTCCCGGGACAGAGCAGCTCTTTCCTCTTGGTTGAACATTCTGTCGATCATCACCATCTCAGCGGAGGGATTGATCCGCTGAAAATGAGAAAGCCTAGTCATTTCAAATGCCCTTTAACAAGTGCAAACAGCTCGCTGTGTTTTGGGGACAAAGGAAGCAATCAGAAAGGAGAATATGTTTATCCTTGACATACTTTTTTGAATCGTGTTTTTTGGGGAAAGGTAATTTACCACATTGGTACAAACTTCAGAAGGTACTAGAGGGGATGTGGAAAGTCAGCCTTCCTTCTTCGCCTCCCCTGTGCACTGCCTTCCTCACCCACCCAGGGCCCTCCCTGCAGGAACCCTCGTGCCAAGCAGTTTAATAAACTCTTCCAGAGATAGTTTATGCACACACACAAATTTACGTTCTTCGTTCTTTATTTTTGCACACAAATGGCAGCAACTATACACACTGTTCTGTACTTTTCTTATTTCCTCCTCTGCTTAATATGTGGGAAATCTTTTCATTAGGATAACCTTTTACTTTATATTCTGCTATGCTATAATTGTGTTGTGTTTTGACCATGCTGCATGGCTTGTGGGATCTTAGTTCCCCAACCAGGGACTGAACCCGTGTCCTCAGCAGTGAAAGCACAAGAGTCCTAACCATTGGACCTCCAGGGAATTCCCTATAATTATGTTTTGTATTAAGGCTTTCCTTAGAATTATTTTTTGCTGTACAGAATCAAATCTTAAATTATATTTCTGGGTCTTATTTAACATAAAAATTCATGGCAGATATAATTTGTCCAAGTAATTAGTCCATTTGTCCAAGTCTGTCCAAATGGTCCTTTTCTCACAAATGATAGAGTTAGTCTTTTTGATATCACAGAGTTTAGTTTCAGAAATGACTGTCAATATAAGAACAACTATTTCAGACTTTGGTGGCACAGTTTTAATATACATAAGTATAGGCATATCTCATTTCACTGCGCTTTGCAGGTATTGCATTTTTTTTTTTTACACATTGAAGGCTGTAAGCAACCCTGCATCGAGAAAGTCTATTGGCACCACTTTTCCAACAACATTTGCTCACTTCATGTCTCTGTGTCACGTTTTGGTAATTCTCCCAATATTTCAAACCCTCCACCAGCAAAAAGACTACGACTCACTGGAGGCTCAGATGATGGTTAGCATTTTTTAGCAATAAAGTGTTTTAAAATTAAGCTATGCACACTGTTGTTTTAGACACAACGCTACTGCACACTTAATAGACTGCAGTATAGTGTAAACATAACTTTTATTTGCACCAGAAAACGAAAAAGTTCATGTGAATTGATTTATTGCAATATTCACTTTATTGAGTGGTCTAGAACTGAACCCCCAATGTTTCTGAGGTATGCCTGTAAATATATACGCTTTAGTTAAACACAAACACACACATATACATATTTATACTATATTGCATACGTGTATAATGTAGTTCAGCTAATCTCTCAAGGTACATTTTCAAAGCTGATCTCAAATTAAAAGCCACTGGTAAGAGACCAATTTATTAAAGTCTGTATGATTTTAGAACTGCTTCTAAAATCTCAGCTAGGTTTGGTCTTTCCATCATTTTCTGAGATACCTTACTCCTTTCTCTAATTATCTGGTGTTTTAAAATTAATTTTAGGGGAGTTCCTCAGCGGTCCAGTGGTTAGGACTCAGCGCTTTCACTGCTGTGGGCTGGGGTTCAATCCCTGGTCGGGGAACTAAGATCCTGCAAGCCATGCGGTGCGGCCAAAGGGAAAAACAACAACACATTTTCGTTTCTATTTGGGGTGCTGAAAATGCTCTGGAATTAACGAGTGGTGATGCTTGCACAGCCTTGTGAATATACTAAAATCCATCAGGTTGTACGTTTTAAAATTAAGCGTGATTTTTTTTGGGGGGAAATTATTATTGTAATATATGACAAAAGATTCATATTTTTTTATTTTACATTTATTGGAGTATAATTGCTTGTTGTGTTAGTTTCTGCTGTACTACAAAGTGAATCAGCTATACATATACATATATCCCCATAACCCCTCCCTCTTGAGCCTCCCTCCCACCCTCCCTGTCCCACCCCTCTAGGTGGTCACAAAGCATCAAGCTGATCTCCCTGTTAAGCATGATTTTTATGACATGCTAGTGATCTCTCAATTGAAAACAAGACAAAACTAACTTTTTTTTTTTTTTGGCTGCACCACGTGGCTTGCAGGACCTTAGTTCCCAGACCGGGGTGAAAACCCGAGTCCTCGGCAGTGAGAGCACAGAGTCCTAACCACTGGACAGCCAGGGAATTCCCAAGACAAAACTAATTTTAACACCTGTCACCACCTCATCTTTTCAGATATTATTCTGAACAATATTCAGCAGAAGTGTTGCTGGTCCTCTCCCACGTCTTCTGGTTGGTGAGAGGCAGTGGACAGCATCGGAGTGCGGATGGGGGTCAGGTGGTCCTGGTCTGTATTCTAGCTCTGCTAATTACACTGCAAACTTACTGGCTGTATGATGTTGGGCAAATTACGTAACGAAAGCCCTAGTTCCTCATTTGGAACCAGGAAAACAATAGCACTGACTCAGTGCGATCAACCATGGAAAGCATAGCAGATATAGCTGCTGTTAGTAGAAGATTCAGTCAAAGGTAAGTTTTTCTACAACTTTAAGTACCTGTGCCTTTTAAACTATGTTGGGAAAATGTAATTTCTTGAAGTGTTTCTCTCTGAATTAGTAGCTGTGACCTGTGGAGTTTAAGAAACAAACATGCTTGGTAGTGGAACTTTACCATGGCATCTTCCAGGAGCAGGCATCTGTACTTGTTAAGCATAGCTTGGGTCCTTTTTAGGAGCTGAGTGGCAACTGTTTCAAATTCATTGTCAACTTTAAAAAGAGAGAGAGAGAGAAAAAAAAAGTAAGAGAGTGCAAATCACTCACTAGGTCCTTTTTTCCTTAGGACTGAAATGAATTATTCCTCCATTTTCTCTTCTTAGTTTAGTTCTCCCTTGGTTAAACATCATCCTTCTGCACTCCTGTCCCTCACTATTCACTGGAATGTGATCACAGAAACTCATTTTAATACTAGCTTATTTTCACTCTAATTAGGAAACTAAAAACGTAATGCCTTTAATTAAGATCATTTATAAAAGAAAACCACGTTAACACAGACCAGCAACAAATATCAATGAACAGAGAATGATCTACTAGTAGGTGACCTAAGCCTCCACTTCCTTCCAACAGCATGAAAAACTGAAACTGCTGAGACAATGAAGTCCTACTGTCCGGGCTGGGCAGACCAGTTTCACGTAACGACACCAACTCGTCCGTGGCATCTCGCAGGTCATGGTCCTGTGGCTCTGTCCTTTGTCTGTCTGTCTCCAAAGGTCTCACGTTTTCCACTTCACTCTTCTCAGAACCTCCACATCCCTGTTTAATGCTGGATGTGGACGCTCTTCCCTGGTCCTCCCAGGGAAGCTCACAGTGGATTGACTGCTGCACTCCCCTCAGAGACCCTGCTCTGGACTCACTTTGGAACCTCAAAGAATGCTTTTTGGGAGCTGCAGGATCTATCTAATTCATAAAAGTGATAGTAGCAGCTCAGGGTATGTATGCATTCTATCTAAACGCAAGGACTGTGCTTGAATCACCGTGCACAGCACCTCGTCCAGGGCCGTCCTGTCTGCAGCCAGCGTCCACACAGTGCTCTGGATTCACTGCCCTCAAATGCGTCCATAAAATATTCGGACATTTGGGTATCCCTCCAAAGAATGCTGAGAAAAATAAGTCACAACCCTCAACGTGGACTGGGAAATCAAGTAAATTGGGAAGAAGGTAGGTCTGCAATGAAAAACAGTAACCTGGCTACCATCTGGGGGTGACGAGGCTCTGGTTCTCCTGTGGGGTGAGTCCCCAGGAGGGCGTCCCTAGGAGGGTGTCTGGTGTCAAGGTGGCACTCTGGGGGTCCAGCCTGCTTACCTTTCTTCAGGTCTTCCTCCGTGGGCATGGAGCCCTGGCACACATGGTAGGAGAGCAGCCTTTGCACTGCGTCACTGAGTGATCGGAACTGACTTTTATCAGGTGTCACGGTGTGGGTTTGGTCCCTCTGTAACTGCTGGAGAATGCTGTTAAAGAGAAATTACCAATGGCAGTGTTGAGTCATGTGAAGAAATCTAATCACGATGGTTATTTGCATGCAAAGACAATGAGAGACAAAGGAATGTTATTATCCATAGTATAGCAGGTCATTTTTCCCCTCAGTTTTTTTGTTTTTTTCTGCGGTACGTGGGCCTCTCACTGTTGTGGCCTCTCCCGTTGCGGAGCACAGGCTCCGGACGCGCAGGCTTAGCGGCCATGGCTCACGGGCCCAGCTGCTCCGCGGCATGTGGGATCTTCCCGGAGCGGGGCACGAACCCGTGTCCCCTGCATCGGCAGGAGGACTCTCAACCGCTGCGCCACCAGGGAAGCCCTCCCCTCAGTTTTATACTTCATACATCATGGTGGGTTTAGAGTTTAGTCTAACCACCAACACAGGGGACTCAAACTATGATCCTGGCCTCAAAAGCATGGTGTTCCCCCCAGCCATTCAAGTGTGGGCGCTCACACAGACCTTGGCAATGCCTGACCACTGGCCAGCTAAGCTTATGGTAATACTTCTGTTCTGAACATAGAAGTTTATTTTTTTTATTTTTTGGACTAATAAACATCATTGATAGAACTTATTATAGACGAATAACCAAACAAAGTCTGTGTCTCAAAACCAGTGTTAAATCAATCTCAGGGCTGAGAGGAAGAAAAGGGGAGCCTAAAATCACAAGAAGTGCAGACATCCCCTAGGATCCCTGTCCTTCTGGATCCATGCTCCCTTCAGGGTCTTCACCATCATCCATGTTCTCTGCCACTGGACAAGCTTGCATGATATCGTCTTCTGATACAGAACAAATCATCCAAGGTTCACTGGGATTTCAGGAGAAATCAGATAGCTTGGCAGTGTGACCACCATGAATAAACAACAGCTCTGCTGGCCCATCTTCTGCATCGTCCTGGGATTGTTCCTCTCCAATTTTACTTAAATCCCAGACATTCAGCCTGTGATCAGTATAACTGCAAGCCAAAATGGTCTCATTGTGAGGCGACCACTGAACCTGGAATATTTCATCCTTATGTGATTCAAAGGAATGCAACTTAAGTTTCGGATTTCTCAGATCCCACAAGGCAACAGTCTTGTCAGCTGATCCTGTGGCAAGAAGGAACTCACTAGAAGGACTGAAAGAAAGGCAGTTCACTTCAGCAGTGTGAGTACCAACTGCGCGGCTTGGTTGGACATAGGACTTCATTAAACCTTGCTTCTCCTCAGAGACCCTCAGGCCAATCAAAGGGTATGTGGTTGCTAAAAAGACAAAGAACTATTCTCCTTAAGAACAAAAGGGTGAACGGTAGGCTCAAACTACATTTGAGATAGATATAGATATAGATATAGATATCTCCTAACAGAAATAAACTATAGGGAAAGATTTCCAAAGTATACTTTAAAAAATATGTAGTATCATAACCTGACTGTTGTATATTTGTTGAAGGTTAGGAACCTAGAAAAATGTTCAAAATGGGTCATTTCCGAAGGTAACTCACAAAGCTCCTTTAGTTAGCTGTTTTGCAGCAGGCCTCTTTTGTCCTCCCGAATGACTGTCCACCTAAAGACAAAACACACCTCTTATTATTCCCTTTTGTAGAATAAGCAAAATACAGTTATACATAAGGGTCACTATGTTTCCAATATTTTCAAATCCTTATCAAGAGCAGACTCTAAATGTAGCATTTGCTATAATTTGCCAGTGTTGAAAAATGAAACAAAGAAACTCACAGACCCATGTAGCAAAGTTGCACTGTGTCAAGATTATAGAAAGCTGTACTATCAGCTCCTTGGAAGGACTTAGCTGTACCCTAAAGCCTGATTTCCCAACTCCCTCTACAAAGCTTCATTATATTTTTGAAGAAATATATTTTAAGTAACAACTCCATAAACATCTGAAAATTCAGTAGACGGTCCTTAATTCATCCTCTCAGTGGTAAATAAGGGAGCAAACACGTCTGAGCTCCTGTCACATACAGTCCAGGTGTGTGACCTAGCAGAGGGCATTTCTTGGATCACGGTAAGGAACAAATACGCCTTACATCAGAACCTGAGAACTGAACCAGATCCTTCACTGAGTATTCCAGGCAGGCCCAGACTACCACAGATTTCATTAAGCTATTGTAAGTTTGATGAAGAGACTAAGGCCTTAGAAAACTGAAAACAAAAATTTTTTTTCTTCTTTTTCAGACAAGTATGGGTTAAAAGACCATAGGGACTGACTACTTCATACACTCCTGCAGGAAAAAAAAAATCTCTAGTATAACTAAGAGGAACAGATTCACTTTTGATAGGATAATAATCATTATCATTCAACAGTAAACGACATTTTTTGAGTGCCTATGATGTGTTGGCTGCTGGTATACTATTAATTCATGAGGAAATGAAAGAACTGTAAACATGTGAGAAATAGAACAGACACATTCATCCTATAAACATTAACATTACAAGGCATGGCTCTCGGGGAAGGTCTTCAGTGAGCACTTTTGTGGGCACACAGGGTGACAAGGCTGACTGTGCAGGTGATGCCAGACAGCCACTAGCAAACAGAAGGCGACGCGACCACATTTTCTGTCAGTCGTGCTGAACATTGAGAAGAAGCTGTGCAAACTGTTTTCTACCTGCACAACTGGCTGGCCAGGAGATGATCCAACGACTTTTTCCTGCTGTGGTTGTGTGGTTCCTAAGGACACCGGTATAGCTTTGCTTCCAGAATCCTGTCCTATTAGAATGAACACATGAGACGACGTTCAACAGAAACAGTAAATCAGGCCCATTGTGTAACCCCTAGAGTCCAATGTACACAGATTACTGAACATTCTGAAAGGGATTTGTTTATCATGGGTGCTGGCTGTGAGGAAGGAGAGCAGGAAGTACACTTATCTACCAAAGCTCTAAAGACAGAGGTAAGGATTATTAAAGCTTATTTAGGTAATAAATAGAAATAAACACATAAATAAATGGTAATAAATAAAAGCTGTCAATGCTACAGTTTCAAATTATCTAAGGTCTAAGGAATAGGCCTCAAAGCAGTGATCTGTCAGTATTACAGAACCCCCGAATACTCACAACTTAAGAAAGGGAGGCCCAAATAGAGGACTGGCTAGGAGTGTTCATGCCGTCATCTTTTCTAGTACTTATTGAGCAGTGCGGGTGTTCAAAGCTTTAGAAGAAATGGAAGACACGGCCCACCGTATTTTTTGTTTTTGGCTGGGGTGGGGGAGTGTGGGGGGGAGATTCTAAATATACAAATACAGGATAGTCACAGAGTCGCATGTGCCGTATGATACTAGGTTTCATTGTTTCTAAGCAGCACATTTTTTTCACATAATTTAATGTGTTGTAATTTAAACAGAAGTGCTTTTCTTTTCCTCATTAGTATATAAGATACTACAGATGCAACATGGTACATTATTTGGGTGGAAAGGATACGGAAAGAAGGAAGGATCAGAGCGGAGGTGAGGCTGAGTGGAAGAGATGCAGGATGAGGGATGCGTGAAGAGTGTGCCCTGGTGCTGGGAGGACTGGGACAGACCAAGGAGAGCTCACAACAGGGGCTCCTGACCTGGCAGTGCTGTGCTCAAGAGGCCTGGGATGGGCGCTTGTCTCAGGCCATCTGCAGTCTTGGAAGCAGAAATGGGGGAAGTCTGATTCAAACTTTTTTTTTGAGCCTGTGAAAAAACATTGCCAAGATGGAAAAATTAATATCATGATAAAAGCTTTAATCACTTAAAGTGCCAACCAAGTCTGTTAACGAGTCTCCCGCATCACCTTCGGTTTAACTTACAAAAGTTTAAAAACATTATTCTCCTATCGCATCGGGAGAACTGCAAAGAGTACCCTTTAAAGTCTACAAGCCTGCTGAATTTTCTTGACGCCATTCAGGAGGGATGACTGATCCCAGCTGAGCTGATTGATAGCCTCTGCTTTCTCACTCCTGGAACTCCTGTGTTCATGGTGCTCAGATGCAAAGCTGAGCCTGAAACCAGTCTCTACCCCCAACAGTTTCTATCCTCAGTAATGCAATGTCACGCCTGCAAGGATTATGACCCTGAGTATCAGTTCCCATGTGGGGTCTGCAGGGATGCTGAGCACCCGGTCAGGGCCCAAGCACCAACCCCAAATCTACTGTCAACATTCGCTGTCCACTGTGTGGATGATCTAAAGGAAGTCTCACCCCTGCCGTCTGGGATGTCTCTAGTTCATGTCATGATAACCTCAGGTGCCATGTAATTGGGAAATGTTAATTCAACTGAATATTAGTCTGAGCAAAATATTATTAGAAAAATTAATCTAATGTTTAAACTGTTGTGTGCTTCCTTTCTATAAATAAGGAAGATGAACTGGATGATGTTTAAGGACTAACAAATTCCTTTTAGCTCTAAAAAAATCTGTTATCTCTATAATGCATTTAGAGTAAGATGATAAAGGGTTTCTAAACTACTCCCAAATTTTAATCCTTTATGTCATTACTACTTCACAGTGCAGTAAGTTTTCAGTTTTTCCTTCAGTTTTATATTTTGTATACCAGCAGGTGATTTAGAGTCTAGTTTAACCATCTCCTGTGACCCTGGCCTAAGCAAAATGTTCCCACCAACCATTCACATGTCGCCGCTCACACAGACCTTGGCAATACCTGGCCATTGGTCAACTAAACTCATGTTAATATTTCTGTTCTAAACAATGAATTATTCTAAACAATTAATTATCTATTTGGTCCTTTTTTCTAATACAGAAATGGAGATGGATTTGACATCAACCAAGAAAGACTGGAGGAGGTCTTTACAAAGTTGGAAACAGTCACTTTGCTCATCCTTCCATTAGCAGGGAAGGTCGGACCTGCATCTCTTAGTGAGAACACCACGGGGGAAAATCTCCCGGTCTTCACAGCATTTGCCCTAGAAGATAACTCCACACTTTCCTACTGTAGGGAAGCTCTTCACAAGAAGGACACCCGTGTTGTGAGGAGGCCTGGGGTGAACAGTGAGCACAGGCCTTCCTCACAAATATTTCCAAGGGACGAACACTAAGGGCCACCTTGACCTAGTGGTTAGCATTCCGGGCTTTCACTGCCATGGCCCGGGTTCAATCCTTGGTCGGGGAACTGAGATCCCGCAAGCCGCTCGGTGCAGCCAAAAAGTCAATAAATAAAAACAAAACTAAGGGCCACCTTGAATAAAAAAACAAACAGGTAAAAGTTGGAAGAACGTGGTCTAACAGGGCAAGGCTATATTCTAGATGGGACTCTGAAATAACGAGATCAACAGATGAATAGATGAACCAGAATGAATATGTTCAAATGACCAAAATCCTCATAGCAGTGTTGCCGGGACACATTATTTTTGGAATTTCTTTCAATATGCCTAGTTCACATGAAACAGAAGAGTATCATCCTAATTGCTTAAGAGCACACAAGTTTGTTTTTTTTAAAATAAATAAATGTCATTACCCAGCCTGATCTCCCACCTTATTTATCAGATATCACCTTGAATGATTCCTAGCTATTGAACAGACAGATAAAACAAAATCCATGCATACAGAAGTAGTAAAACTGTAAGAACAGCAAGGAAGAAATCACCATAAAAGTCAGGAGAGGGGCTAGGTTAGGAAGGTACATGGAAGGGGGTACGTTCTGGGGTACCGATAATCTATTTCTTGAGTGGTTACCTGCATGGGTATTTGCTTTATAATTATTTGTTAACTGTACATTTATGTTTTCTGTATTTTTCTATGTGTTTCTTCATAATACAGAAGAGTAAAGAGAAAAAAAAATACTCTGAACAATGTAATCTAATGTCAAAGCTTGAAAAATTGCCATCATTTAAGGGTATAAAGTACTGTTGTGTCTGAAAACAAGGTTACTAACTGTAGGGACACCTCTTGTTTGAGCAGGTTTTTTGTTTTTTGTTTTTTTTGGCTGCAAGGTGGTCTTCCTCTAGTTGCAGCGAGCGGGGAGCTACTCTTTGTTGCGGTGCGCGGGCTTCTCATTGTGGTGGCTTCTCTTATGGCGAAGCATGGGCTCTAGGCGTGTGGGCTTCAGTAGCTGCGGCACGCGGGCTCAGTAGTTGTGGCTCGTGGGCTCTAGAGCGCAGGCTCAGTAGTTGTGGTGCACACGCTTAGTTGCTCTGAGGCACGTGGGATCTTCCCGGACCAGGGCTTGAGCCCGTGTCCCCTGCATTGGCAGGAGGATTCTTAACCACTGCGCCACCAGGGGAAGTCCTGAGCAGGTTTTGGTGTAAGTGTTTTACAGTCCCCTTGCCCACACCCATGTGGGGGTTGAACACTGGCATCAGTGCATTTTCATCTTTCAGCTACTGCCAGTACCCCTCACTGTGTCCCTCCCCTTGGGACTGGAATGATCTCCCCACCTCTTATGCTATGAGGGTAACACAGGTTGGGCGGGGCGGGTAGGGCCAGGATGGTGGTAGAATTGTAATCCACTGGGAACTTGGTTTCGTGTCCCCACTGGAATCTCCTCCATTCACTAGGTCTGTATGTTTGGAAAGCGCTGCTGCCCGAGGGATCTGCTCTGTGCCCAGATGTTCGCTGGTCACTGGTCACTCCCAGTCCCCTGATTTCAGAGCAGGACTTTTGTGTGTCTGGTTCACTGCTGTATCCCCAGCACCAGAAGAGGGCCTGACACCATAGTGAGCGCACAGTAAATCATTGTTAAATGAAAATAAGTGAGTGAATTCCACTGTGGCATTAAGTCATAGGGGTCTGTACTTCCTCCTAGTCCAATGCCCCTGCCCAGGAGCCAGCAACTTTCTCTCATTCCCCCCAAATTTAGGTTGCCCCCGAACTGACAATCTTTTCCAGAAAGAAAATATATCATTCAGGTTTTTTTTTTTCTGAACTCTTAGAGAAGACTTTTAAAAAATTTTATTTATTTATTGCGCCGGGTCTTAGTTGAGGCAGGCAGGCTCCTTAGTTGCGGCATTTGAACTCTTGGTTGCGGCATGCATGTGGGATCTAGTTCCCTGAACAGGGATCGAACCTGGGCCCCCTGCTTTGGGAGCATGGAGTCCTATCCACTGTGCCACCAGGGAAGTCCCTCTTAGAGAAGACTTGCTCTTGAAATATATTTTCTTCACAAATAGAGAAGCTATTTAAGGATATTTTGTTGAGAACTTGGCTCCAAGAACTCTGCTCATATCAATGTACAATTTTAACTCTTTAGACCCTGTATTATCTTGATACCACGTGAATATACAGAAATCCACCAATGGATCAGAATACTCAATATATCCCTATCCCCCTCTGTGGTACACTTTGTAAGAAGCCAACGACAAACTAGGAAGATGATATTCGTCAACTGACAGGCATTTGCTGGGTGAAGGAGGCCATCTGGGATCTTCCTAGCCCATAGTCTCCTCTGGGAATTGCCCCACTGCCATAGCAATGGGTTGGAGCCAGCACAGTTCGACACACAAAGGTCTGTTACCTGCTAGAGGGCATTAAGAGCTAGAATCCAGGGAACGAGCACCTTTTCTTCCCATGGAAAGTGCCAAGCCTGTCAGTGAGCAGCTTCTCTACCCAGAGGGGTGCTTTTTTCTATTTTCGCTCAGAAGGGCACTTTTTCCTAATTTGAACAAAGGCTCCATATAGAGCATCAGCTCTATATGTATAGAGCTCCGTACAGAGGCCCTGCGTGGCTACTTCCTCATGTTCCCCACGACTGGCTCCTCTGGTCAAGGGTGACTGAACCACGGGTGGGCCAATCAGACTCTCTCTCCTTGGAACTGAGAATTGGGGGAGGGGGAGGGATACCTAAGGGCCGCGGTTCTCAAATGCAGGTTTATAGCCTAATTGCATCAAGATCACCTGGGGGAGCATCTGAAAGACAAAGTTTCTGGGTTCATTCCACAAAGATCGATTCAGAAATCCAATGTGGGGCTTAGGAATCTATAAATTTCAGAAGCTTTCCAGTTAATTCTGATACATTGCTAAGTTTTGGAAACCACTGCACTTGCCAGTCTGTTTTGGTTTTTTTGTTTGTTTTGTTTTTGCCAGTTTCTGTTAAACGCGTGGAAGAGTGAGAGAGGACCATGAAGGAGAGAGGTGAGGCCATGCTATCTTGAAGAGGCCAAGGGAGGAGCAGAGAGCCTGGTTCTGACTCTTATAAAGAAGCTCCACTACACGAGACGTTCTCCTTTTTGCTAAATGTGTTAGGGTGAGCTTCTAGAGAGCTGCAGCCCGAAGTACCTTGACTAAGACATTCGGGTGTTCACTGTATGCACAGCACCATGGTAATCACAGAGAAGGCAGCTGAAGGATACCACACACAGTCTTTGCCCTCTGAAAGTTTACCATCCAGAAAACAACCAGGCCCACCCAAACACAGTGTACCATATTATGGTGTCCGACCTCAGGCCCTCATGCATGACCAGCAATCCTCTTTTTCCCCTGGCGAGCTCCTTGCTTATTTTCCACTGAAGCCTATTTCATTATCTTCAAACCTGTAAGCCAGGTGAGAATTCATTCAACTTTCTACCACCAAAGCTACGACATCACCTGCAACCCCATTCATCCCTTCCCGCTTCTCTGTTACAGTGGAAGAAGCATCCCCCAATGCTTTTATAAAAAGAATCCCACCAACGTTCTGGAATTCATATCCTTCTCCTTCTCATGAGCTTGGAAAAGAGCTCAAGCCTTTCCCGTATCTTATAAA